CCCCCCCCCCCCCCCCGCCCCGGGCTCGGTGTGTACCAACGTATTTCATGGGCGTAATTCATTCTCGGGAGCAGAATTTCCACCCTGCAAAATGCTCCACAACATTAAACTGGTTAAATATTTGGGAGCAAGATCCCGGGGCAAAACTTGAAAACGCTCCCTCGTGTGTACCATAATATGGAGCAAGCTCCCACACTATGCTCCCCACTGTGTACTAGTGTGTATCGGCCTTAAAAATATCACTTTCCTTTCGCGCGTCGTTTTCTTAAAGCATTTATACTAAAGTAAAAAACGCGTTAAAATTTAGAGCTACTAAGGGAATTTGTCCAAGTATTAAACCCGATATCTAAACTATCTTGGAGATTACAGCGCGCATTCCAACACTTGTTTAGCTAACCTATAGGTCAGTCCACATAACTCTCTGATATCAATTACACATGCCGTATTCTACAGGCCCCAGCCACACTACACCGGAGAAATGTGAAAATGGCGTTTTCACTCTGAAAACGCATCAAATGTTTTCCGTCCACACCGCGCCGGAGAAATTTGAAAACGCAACAATTACCGGTCATTTTGGATTTGTGTTTGAGGAAGACTCGGGCAGGGAAATCACGTGATTGTCGTGACGTCATCGTTTACGAAAAAAACGGCATCGTTTTCGAAAAGCTCCGTTTTCAGAATGTTTCCCGTCCACACTAAAACGCAAAGCCGGCATTTTCAAATTCCTCCGGTTTGAAGAGCGTTTTCGAAAAGCTCCGTTTCCGTGACGGATTAGTGTGGACGGTAGGCCTAACTGTAAAAATAAAGCTGCGTTTCCATATTTCTCCGGCCTAGTGTGGACGGGACCATAGTCAAAGATCGGAAGGATTCCGATGAGCCAAACTTGATTTCTCCGAAACTCATTTTCTACTGATCAAAATGCAAAAAGTATGATCTTCGTGTGTTCGCTGTAGGATCTTTCAATGATTTATTTCGTACAAAGAAAGAGGGAAAAGCTACGCTGAACTAACAATAGGCTGATTTAGCAACAGGACGGGAACGTCTGATGACGACTGCAGGTCGCGCGGAATAACCTGGATTCTGTTCTAATTTGACCATATTTGGGTATTTGTACTGCGCGCGCTGTCGTCAAGTGATGTTCCCGTTCTCAAGCTAAATCAGCCTATTGCTAAGATGATGCACTTGCCTGCAATACCATCTAAATATCACAAATAACTTGAAACATCTGCTATTTTTGTTTTTGTTTTTTTACTTTTAAATTCCACTCACCTCCCCTCCTGACATTTCTCCATATGGTAACTGACCAAACGAGTACATTTCCCACAGTGTCACGCCATAACTCCACACGTCACTCTGATGCGAGAACGTTCCGAAATTGATCGATTCCGGCGCATACCTGAGGGGAAAGAAAACTTCTAAGTTTTATTTTTTAAAGTCCGAAATTCACTAGTAACACACAATAGCGAGAAAAGCTCAACAAACAATCAAACAAAAATGTTAATATCAGACAGACATGTAGACAAAAACGGTTAATAGTTGGTGAAGAAAGAACATCTTTACAAGACTCTCTACTATACAGTCCAATGGAAACGCAAGCATTATGAATTAAATTACATCCCCCTGTTATTCCGCTTCCTTGCACAGTAGTGGGTTAAAGGCTGGGGGAAAGAATTAAAATAGGTTAATTGTAATTCCAAGACGAGGGCGCGCTGGTGGAGCGATAGTGCTAACTCACCATTTTACTGGCCAGCGGCCACCCTGTGAAGCCTTGTAATAATCGCTTCCAGAACCAACTGCACGAGACAGACCAAAGTCACTGATTTTTACCTGAAAGGAAAGGTAAAAAGAAACATGATAAAGCGCTGGAAAGCATACCCTTAAGCCCTCCAAAAATGTTACTTTCTTAATCTTATTATCAGTTGTACTTTATCTACATAAACAACAGAGCAAATCTATCGAATCACTTTAATCATTAGGGTATTTTAGTACCACTGTGCTAATTAGGGATACTAAAAATCGAGAAACACTAATTGTAAATTGCACTAAAAACTGTGTTAGACAGAACTCATCCTGCCCCTCCGTGCCATGTGTGTCCCTCCCCTCCCCTCATGTTTTGGTTAGTAGATTGAGTAGACAGACGTCTGTCTTCGCGCGCTCAATGGTACAAAACGCACCGTGTACGAACATATATGCCTGGCGGGATTTTGTGCGCAAGTGCTTTATCTCGGCTGCCGTAGGGTAGTAAGAAGAAAAGAACTATCAGGTGAGATCCCAATGGCTTGGCAGGCAAGGGATATGTCAGTCGAGAACACCAGTTTATCTGTGGTGATGTGCAATCAGGAAACATGGAAGTCGACGATAACCACAGATTTCTTACAGTTTTACTCTAGCAATCTTACATGACACCCGAGAAACGACTGTGTCGAGTTAGATATCTACAATATAACTGATTTAGAAAACAACAAAAAAGTCTCAGCTCTCGGTCTTGCGGACAAATGGGCCCCGGCTTATTTATTTTCACCACTCAATCACTAATGATAGCAGTCCCGTACATTCGCTCAGAAATTTGTGACCCAAAACCACAACTTTTCAGTTAGTTACAGGTCCTTTTCTGACCTGTTGCTTGGTAGACATGAGGATGTTCCTTGTTGCGAGGTCCCTATGGACAAAGCGCTTTTTCTCCAGGTACATCATACCCCACGCTATCTGAGCAGCCCACAGTTTAAGGTCCTCCTGAAAAATGTCTGATTGATGGTCGAGTAATAAGTCGAGTAGCGCTCCCATCTGAACTAATTCTTGAACCTGCAAAACAACACAATTTGTTTGTTCCATGCCACAATTAAACGACGGCAACTAGCACTGTTGCTTCCTACCAAAATAAATTTATTTAAGTCTGGTTTTTCACGACTTTACAAAAACAAACAGTGTATAACGGAATACACAACGCATTACAGTTCTTGCTATTTCAAATTTTCACCCAATTTTCTATGAGGCAGCGTGGCCAAGTGGTCAGAGCGGCGGATTTGAAATCCGTAGGTCCCGGGTTCAAATCCCGTTCAGATCGCTAGCCGATGTTGTTCTCGGTAGCCCTGGGTTCAGCTTCTCGGCCGCGCTTGTAAATAGTCAACTGTTCTGCCTCCCGCCAGTTGGGATTCTTAACTTAATTATGTTTATTTGAATATTTATTTATCATTGTTTGTTTACACTGGTCCTGAAAAGCCCCAATGGGGAGTGGCCAATCAAGTATACACTTTGTAGCCATTATTTGGGATGTCAAGCAATCTTCCCAATAGCAGGCTAGCTAAAAGTATCAACTGACAGCTTCTGACTGTGATGATTACTAACCAGGATCAACGGAGGCCCAAGACAAACACCAATAAGTCTCACAATACATGGGTGATCTAGCCCGAACATTATTCGCGCTTCACGTAAGAATTCCTGCAAGCAAAAATACATGTACTATTGTATTTAACTGAAAATCACATTTAGAACGACATGGTAATTCTTGAACATCATCAGAACAAATACAACAACATCCCTCCTCCCTTGGTGTCACGGTTCGCGCATCTTGAAAAGTTAAAGGAACTCAGTCACGGTATTTTGAGTTATTCTGGCCACATACAAAATTACCTTTAAATGGTAGGAAACCTGAAAATAACAGTTTAATAAGATAGAAAAACACCAAAGAGATAATGGTAAACCATAAAGGAACGAGGATGGCAAAGGATGGAGAAGATTAACACGGACTACAAACAAACTTTTCAATATGCGCAAACCGTGACTGAGCTCCTTTAAGCTTAAATTTTCCAGGTTCGTCGTTTGTAATCCGTGTTTATCTTCTCCATCTTTGTTCCTTTTAGTTTATGGTTTATTATAATCTCATTGGTGTTTTTCTATCTTAGTAAGCTACTATTTTCAGGTTTCCGTTAATTTAAAAGTAATTTTGTACGTAGCCAAAATAACTCAAAATGCCGCGACTGAGCTGGGACGTACAAGCTAACTCATACCCCCATTGTGGTACAAGGGGGGCGGAGTCGTTCTGTTAAGGCACAGCGGAAAAAATTTACATTCATTAGATAGCCCTGAGCTTGCTCTACAAAATCATACCATGTTTGTTGGTTGTGACGTCATATGACGTCAAATGACGACATTTGGCCCGCCAAATTGGATCCGCCATCTTGAATTTTACTATTTTCTTAAAAAGTCATGAAATGACCGAAATTAAAACAAAATCAAGCCAGAATGTCTCTGAAATGTACAAATTGATGAATGTCTGGAATTTGATGAATTACAATGTATGTCAAAAAAGTTGGTTTTGGCCAAACCTACATGAAATTTGCGGTTGCCATGGCAACATCAAAAGTGATGGACACAATTGACATATCAAAATTTCTGCAAAGAATGAATGAACAGCTACTGTAAGTTAACCATCTTTTCTAAACTTTGAATAAAACCTAATGTGGGTGATGGCATCCACCCACTCCACCCCCCCCCCCCCCCCCCCCCCCCAAAAAAAGAAAAAAAGGAGTCTGACACTGNTATGTCAAAACTTGTCGCTGCCATGGCAATGTCAAAGATAATGGACACACGCAGTTGACAAATAGAGTAAGTCGCCTTTCCAAAACTTAAAAAAACTCTTATGGGGCATTCACCCCCCCCCCCCCCCCCCCCCCACTTGTACGTCCGAGGGTTACAGTTGGACCAAACAACGTGATCAATGAAATCCTGCTCAGAGGTTCATGGGGGTTGGAAAAAGGTTTGTTCCTGTGACAAACAGATAATTTCAGCTCTTGCATTCTCATCGATTGTGACTTCATGCTAATAATAAGCTGAATATTGCTTTCTAAAAATAACTGATAGGCAGCTTAGAATCTAATGCTGCATCACTTCCCACGCCCCCCCCCCCCGACCCCCTCTCCATCACACCAGTATTGTCTATATATAGAGCATTTTCACATGACGTCACGGCAGCCATATTGGTGTTCCAACATGTTCAATGAAACGGTGGCCATGTTGGTGAACACACCAAACCAATCCTGTGGAAGTTGAGGTCTTTTCTTGTGTAAACACTTACTATTGTTTCAATGAATTTGTATGGCTGCTGCCCACGTGAGTGAAAATGCTCTATACACTTCAAAGAGCTTTCACCTGTTCTCCAAGGGCAATTTTTTCAGGATGTAAAGTTTTCAATGCCACTGGAACCTGTAAATTGTCAGTTTAATTGAAACTACTAATTAGCAACTTCCCAATAGCGACCAACACTATATATTTACATGTAACTTTTTCCAAAGAAGAAAAAAGCCATGATTGGCTCAATTTCCCCTACTCTCTCAGGTCCAGCCTCATTCTCTTGCAAGCAGCAGCTGGTAATACGCCACCTTTGATAAATAAATATTCTAACATGGCTCTGAGCTTTCAGGACAAAATTCTATATTTGGTGTTGTTTTCCTTGTATCAAAGTCTCTTTTGGGATTTGAGAGACAAAAGAAACTTTAAAAATTTAAAATTTTGGCCAAAGCCTCAGAGCCATGTTAGAATATCGATATATTGAACACAGCCTATTGAACTCAGTGTTAAGATTAATAAATAAAGAAAATAATAAGCTAGCAGACGTTGTTGTGAAGAAACATAAAATTCTCAGAAAAGTTCTGAAATTGAAAGAAATACTGCGAGCATACATGTATTACAGAACAGTGTACCTGCGCAAATGGTGGAGCAACTCTGCAAATGGTGGGTTACCTGTGAACAGGCTTTTATATATATATTTTTATTATTATTATTATTATTATTATTATTATTATTATTATTATTATTATTATTATTGATACAACAGGCTTTTAGGCTTTTAGGCGAGCTAAAAAATTTGTTCAACCAAGTTGAAAATTCCCTTTTACCTTGTTTCCTTTAGCATCTGTCCAAACACCCTTGAGAACAGAGCCAAACTCTCCCTGACCCAGTTCCGCTCCAAGTTCTAGTGACTGCCTCGTTATCAATGTCTGTTGAGATTGCATGGGAGCTGAAAAGAACAAAGGAGATAGAATGGGTGATCATCATGTAATTTCTCCTTGAAATCTCTGTACAAAAGCAAGGCATGTGGTTATGTTAGCAAAGGAACTGATCTGCAAGGAGGCTTGGGTGAATTGCATTAAGTAAATATTTTGCAAGTTAAATTAGTATCTTGTGACATGTATTTTTCATCCATCATGTTTAAACAAAGGAAATCATGGCCGTAATGGTGTTTGGAGATCTGATCTTAATTAGCATACTATTAGATTTTTACAATTTTATTTCTTCATTTTCACTTTAGTTTAGTTTCAATTGGGAAGATATATTATACACTCAAGACAGTGTTCAACCACGTTTGTCCAAAAATAATACATGCGCAGGAAGTGGCACAAGAAGTTCTTGCGCTGCAAGGAACGTGTTAGAAAGCAGAAGAAGTGAAAATGTGGTGTTTTGAGTCTAACAGCAAGCTGCAAGAAATGCAAGAGGTTGTAAGGTACAGCTGCTTGAAGTTTTCTTGATCTGATTAAACAGTGCAAAGACAGCAAAAGTGTAAACAAATGTTGCAATGTATCTGTACCTTGTGACTGAACTGGGACATTTGGCTTTGCTGGACCTGGAGGATTGGGTTGCGCTGGTCTCATTGGACTAGTAGGACTTGTCAGATTAGGTGGGAGGGGTGGTGGTGGGCGTCGTTGCCCTCTTGGTGGTGGGTTCGGAGGAGGAGGAGGGCGAGGGTGTCTACCTTCCAATTTACTGAAGTTTTCTCCATCACTGATGCCTAGGGTATGAGAGTTCTGTTCACTGATGGATCTCTTCACAAATGGAGGAGTCGCTTTCCTTGACGGACTTTGATCAGTACTGAGGGTCTCCTTAGGAGAAACAACATTTTAGATATAAGAATATTTCTTATTTCCCATACTATATAGCAATGGGAGGTGGGGAATGCTAATGGTTAGTGTGTGTCACTCCTGATCAAGTAGTCTGGGTTCGAACCCCGGCTGGAGTCACTGTTAAATTGTGTTCTTGGGTAAGACACTCTCACAGTGTCTCTCTCTGCCCAGGTGTATAAATGAGAAGCAGTGAGTTTAATATTGGAGGTTACTTTGTGATGGACTTACATCGGATCCCATCAAGGGGAATTAGAAATACTCCTTTTCACTCATGCTACAAAGACTGGAGATACATGTTGGCTTGATGGGCCAGTAGTTTATCTGTGAACTGTGGATGAAGTGGTAGCCTAATTGCTAGACAGATCTAGTCATTGCAGCACTAGAAGCTGGTTAAATTGATGTTTTTTCCAGCAATGCACTTCTCCATGGGGGGAGAAAGGACTCCTCTAATAAAATGACCGAGGTGCTTGTCATACCTTTTAGGGGGTGAAAATTCTTGATTGGTATTGCCAAGAGTGTAAAATCTAAGATGGCCTTTATGAGATTGAGGAAATTATTGCTGCTGTTTCTTTTTAGTGTATGGAGCTGAAAAAATGTCAGTGTCAGAAAAAAAATTGTTCTTTATTACCATGCCAAAAAAAACTTCAAAATTTTTGATGAGCATCCCCTGTCAATTTTACAGGGGAGTTCCTTCAGGCCCTTCTCTACCAAGAAGAATAACTGGATACTGAAAAACTGTTAGTCAAAGAACAATCTGGAAATGAAGACTAGCATTTCTGTGAGAAAGAGTACTGTGCCAATACTCTCAGTTGCTTCATGCTTCAAAAAATTGAGTTATAAGCCACCTTATGTCACCACTTTGGCTCGAATGCAGACTTTACATTTTCCTCTATGAACAATGTACATGTAAATATTAATTCTCATTACAAGGTCTGAAATGTAAAACAAATGCAGCTTTTGGCTGCATCTCATTGTCTTCTTCTTCCACTTTGCTGAAGATGACTGTGAGATACAGTCAAAAGCTTGATTGCTTTTTTTGCTCCTTGTGACAAGAATGATTTATAAACATTTAAATAAGCCCAAGGTCAGGAAGCAATAGCAAGGTCAATATGGAAAGGCTGAGGTTTTAGACTTTCCCCTAAAGACCTAACTCTCAGCCAATAACTAAAGTTGTTTATTAAGTGGCTTTTCGCTTTGTTTTTGCAGTCCCATAATCAGCCTGTGGGCATTATAGGAGAATAATGCCCTAAATTAGCCAATCAGAGTGCATGTTATATCAGCCACAAACACAAGGTATATAACAAATAGTCTAAATGTCCATGTGCTTACAGCAGATCCTGATCTTTGTAAAGGATTTAGTCCAGGCAGGATTCTGGCCGAGTGTGTATTCAGTGCAGGAGAGCTGATAGCTGGTGTTAAAGGCGGTCGCTTCCTCATAGGGGGCACTGGGATGTTCTGAAGAACAACTGGAGGCTTTCCACCAGGTGGAAGAGCCATCTTGAGAAGAACTGGTAATCCATCTGCACATCTACTGTAGTGGTCAATGACATGAGGTAGGGTTTCAAATAATGGGCCATCGTCAATGTAGAACCATCTGTCAGACTGTACAAATGAGTGTGATAATATAAAGCTTAACATAACTTACTGTATTTCTAAACCAGGAGAGTTTTTAATATTAATTAATAAGAAAAAAGGGGGAAGAGTTTAAAGTTTTTGGACCTTTAGATTTGTAAGCAGCTGAGCTCATACTGAAATGGGGAGGTGTTACTTTGGTGTCTGGTCAAGATTAATCAATTAAAAATAACTTGATAATATAAAGATTACGCCAAGCCTAACACTGGAGCTCCTGACTACAAACGTTAACCTGGCTTGAGCCTGTGATTCAATCAAAAACCAGTACCTGGACAGCCGTCAACTTAAAAAGACATGTGACCTCGATGAGCTTTAAACCTGAGCCCGTGATATGCTCATGTGATACTGGTCAGCAAATCCCTTGTTTAGACAGCTGTCAATTGACCATAACATGGATGTCCAATATCAAATATGTGTGCTGTAAACCAAGGTAACATGCCACAGTCAACCTATTAAGCTGAAGTATGGCCACCATATTGCACGACGTCGCCATCATCGCTGCTGTCATGGCTAAATCTTTATATTATCAATTTATTTCTAACTGATTGATCTTGACCAAACTTAAGCAAAAAAAGGCAAAAGTTACATGTATTCGCCTGTAGCATCTGGATGCTTCTAGAGCACAGCCCTGTGTGATGCAAGTTATTGTATACCTACTGTTACTAATTCACTCTACAGACCTTAGAGTTGACTAGATCAATACTTAATAGACATACTAAATACTTTTTGCTAATAACTTACCCTGCTCCGTATTTGATAATGATAAATCTGTGTGTTGACAACCACAGAAAGGACATAGTAGCCATGGTCACGCGTGCTAAGACGAACAAGGAACAGCCCATCAACTAATCCCCATTTCTGAAAGAGGTTAATAGTTTCCTGGAAGAAACCAAAGCAGCACATAAATCATTTCAGAATAAAAGGGTTTCATTCACTGAGATTCTTTTACTGTTGCTATTCAATTTGTTAACATCAGGAATTTGAAGCCCATTTCAAATTAAATGCATGTAAACTGTTTATAAACAGAAAACATGCGGGTCTAGAGAAAAGATCCCAAATTGGGAGTTGAGACAACTTTTGTCTAAAAGAACCAGTATTGGTCCAGAAAAATACTTTAAACAAACAAACAAACAAGTTACTTACTTTGTTACCTTTGAATGGTTGGAAAGAAATGTTAAAGTATATGAAAAGAACACTGAATATAAAGGCTGATCTACATTATGTTCAACAGAACATTTAAGTTGACATGGTCAGCTGACCTTAAAATTATGCCTGGCAATATAAACTACTTCATTACAAGGTATGGTAGTAAAAACTGAATCATTGGATAATGCAATTCAAGAGTTTTCATTGGCTTAACCTTCATGGTACGTACATGTATGGTACGTGTGTATGAGCCATTATACTGTGCTTCATAAAATTTAACATGGCAAGCGTATCACTAATTTTTTGGGGCGTTTTTGTGTTCATTATATTTTCAGTTTTCTATATTTTAGGGGCATTTTTAATACGACAATTATTTCACTCACACCTGTTGGATATGAGATGGTTAAACCCAACTTGGTGCTACATGCCTTATTGCCTATCTATCATTTCATATCCAACGCATGCTCGTGGAATAATAATATTATTGATAATAAGTACTTAAGTGCGTGAATATGAAGAATGAATCACGCATACCTTTCTATCTAAGTTTTCATGTAACCACATCCTTGGCAAAGTCTTTGGAGGCTGAACTGGATAATTATCTATTATTTCAGCTATATATATGTTGCCGTATCTAAGGGCAAGGTCCCTGGGCGTGTCCCCTTCTTGTGATCGTGGGTGCAGTGCAGCCCCGAGCTCCAGGAGAATCATCAAACACTCAACATGACCTCTTAATGCTGCAATATGAAGAGCAACAAATCCAGTAACAGGAGAGCGGTCCTGTAAGTCAGCTTGTCCTTTCCTTACAAGTGAAGAGCACACTGACGCATGACCTCCCTCACAGGCAGCCTGAGAACAATTCAGTGAAGTAAAATATGTGCCATCAGACAGTTTATGCTTAATACCTGCTCGAGCTGATGGCCAATTAGTCTGTTCCAGGCTCTCTGTAATTGGGGAGGAAAGAAAAGAAAAGAAAAGAGAAGAAAAGAAAAGAAAAGAAAAGAAAAGAAAAGAGAAGAAAAGAAAAGGAAAGAAAAGAAAAGAAAAGAAAAGAGGGAGAGAAAAAGGAGGGGTGGTCGACTTCCCTTCCTCATCTCAGTCTCATTCATTTTTTCCCTTGATTGCCCTCTTTTGTTTCGCTCGTCCCCAACTAGACGGGCAACTAGCAAGAGCCTGGAACAGACTAATAGCCAATAAGGAAGTCAGAGTAAAGTATCAAGTATTACTACCTAGAAAAGGAGAATTAAGTAGCTAGTAATGAATTAGCAGACAGTATAAAAGACCTAGATCACGATTTCTCTCTAAATTGTTTGAAAACAATTTATGACTACTCAAATTAATCATAACCTTACATGTACAACAATTATTCTTGAGTTTAAAAATGTCTTTAAAAGTTTTGAGTCACAAGGTTGGTAGAATTTCCCATATGTACAAACAGTAGGAAAGCATTAGGGAGGCCATTAAAGTGTGTAATTGCCACAGAGATGCCTTAGCTACCCAACTATAACTGTTGTAATTGGACACCTGTAGTTGGATGCATACATGATCGCACACCAATTACACGACAGACAGGTTAACAGAGAGCCAATTGGAATAGAGAAGTTTGCTATAGATTTGGGAGAGTGATAAAGGCTACAACACTGTCGGCCCACAAAAAGTTAGCAAACGATATACTGCAACTGTTTAATAGCTGTAGTTCACACCTATGTTACTTCCTATGTTACTTCCATCTGTGAAGCCCCCCCTCCCCCCCTCCCGGGGGGACTACCATGTAAAAAGGACGGGGTTAATACTACTCATCAGAAATTTACAAAGAGCCCAAAAGAGGTACCAAGATCCTGTTTGTGGGCATGGCTTGAATTTTTTTAATCAATGGGAGGTAACAATTGTAAACTGGTTATCTCATGAAGGTCATTTTTTCAGCTCGATACCCTAACAGGTTCCACATTTTGAGGCTGAACACCCCAAGAGGTACCAAAACCATGTCACTTTTTAACCCCTAGAAGGTATGACGAGCACCCCCGTCTTTTTTTATATGGGAGTTCCTCCTGCCCCCCCCTTCCCCACGGAAGCACCCAGTTATGAGGGTGGTAAAGGGGGGGTATAGATCACGTTTCACTGAAAATAAAGCAGCCCTTTCACAATTCACGAAAAATACAACATTGGCATTTCATGCTTCAGGGAAAATAA